TCTTGTAGCAGAACTTCACTTGCGTTAGCATTTCCATTGACTCCCATTCATTTTGGCGTCACTTTGACAGCGAATAACTTTACATCTGAGGCGTTTAAAGACTCCATTTGTCCATTATTTATTTCTAAAGAAACAGGACAATGTATAAAGGGCTCCATTACCTTCTATGTTACATTATGGCCCCGTAGAAACAGTTTTAGTAAAAATAGGCTAACGATTGCGTCATAACCACTCGACTCTGTCGCGCTGTACAGAAGTTACCGTACAGACAGGAGGAGAAGCTCGCAGGCGATCGGGGGACGTCCCGTCAAGAGAGAAGCCCATAGATAATGAGTCCATAAAAGCAACGGGATACTTACTCCTGCTCACTCACGCCAAAGAACTCTGCTCAAGTTCCCCGTCTCTGCAAGATTAACGTTGGCAATTTTCACGCACAGCTACTAGAAGAGTAACGTCTGTCAGACAGGTTGCTCACGTCATCAAGCTTAGTTTGAGTCGGTCTGAGTCTGCGCGTCAGGAACGGAAGTGCTCAAAAATCGCTAAAAATGGGCTTCCACTGTCTCAACTGAGCTCCAATGAGATGGCTCTGTCCACTTCTTATACTGTCTATGGTTGACTATCACACGTTGATCTGATTGGTTACTTACAAGGTAGTTTGTGACATAGATATCCATAATAAAGGCTTATGGATATCTATGGTTTGTGACGTCAGAAACACCAGCGATTTCAAACCGTGTTTTTGAGACTGTCTTTGGTTCACTGCAGTTTTAAGCAGGAAATACTCAGCAATGCTGTCGACTTATGAACTTACACATGGTGTGTCTTAAAGCGTATTAAAAACACCACATAGACACATAAACAACATTAAACGCTGGATTCTCACCACAGGGGGACTTGAACCTTTTTTTATAGCCTACAAGTTATACAAGATTCAAAACTTAAGTTGAAATGACTTAAACATCCAAGTTGATTGTTCTTAACAATTTAAGGCAGCAATTTTTTTATTTACAGTGTAAAAATTGTGATTGAAAAAATGTCATCTGTTGTTTTAGCATTAAAAAACCTTAAAACAACATTTAAAGCTAAATGATTTGTAAATTGTAAATTATTGTACATAAGATACTTGTTTCAATGTGGAAAAAAGCCATTTGAATCATATTGAAACAATATTTAAAGTTAAATGGTTATAAAATCTGAGTTGCCAACTGAGTTCAAATATTAAATAAATCATTTTTAAATATTAAACATAAAACACTCAATAAAAAAGATGAAATATTTTTTACCATTACATCAGAGAACCGTGAACATGAATGTGTTCCTCAATCATTATTTTATTAAAACTTAAGTTATTTAAATGTAAAATCTCCCCTTAAGTAAATATTTTAGCTGAATCTTTGATTTACAACAAATACAAATGAGTTTTAATAATAAGCCATAAATCACTGTCAAAATGGAATGTTAAAACAATTACAAATTGATGTTTATGAATTAATTCACTTTCAATCTCTCCATCAGGCAGCATTTTTCACACATAATTATGACATTCATAATGCCTTCAAAAATACAGCAGATGAACTGCAAAAATTAAGTTCTTCCTTTGTATTTTTGTCTTTTTCCCGAGTAAAAATATCTCAACATTCTTAAATCAAGATGCATTTACTTGAGAAGCAAAGATTATGTCTTTTAGACTTTTAGACAAAGATTAAGTCTTCTAGATTAAGTCTAGTTTTATGAAAATATTTATGCTTAAAACAAGAACAAATATCCGTCAGTGAGGTTTAGAAATATCAGTCAAATTCAAAGGGAAAACAAGATTATTTTTCTTGTCCAGAGATCCAAATAAACTTTTACTAGAATACAAGAATATAGTAAAACAACAATTTATCTGCCATCAGAAGTAAGAATGTCTTCTGTGTGAAACAGAGCTGCTGAAAACGACAGCGCCACCTTCTGGTACAGCATTGTTAACATGAAGAAATCTCACAGAGAGGGAATGTGTTTTAACTTTATTTATTATGCATACAAAACTCAAACTGATGCAGGAACACGTGAACCGCACAACAAAACATGTAGAAAATCAGACAAACTCTCTCCTCATCTAGAGAAAAATCAACTCAGAATATTCTGCTCCTCACACAAGAGCTTCCTTACAATCAAACTGGCATTTTTTTATTATTACTTCAGCTGTACTGCAATAAGAACTGAGCCGAAGCCCCGGATAACAAACACACACACTAGAACAGGAGCTTCAGTCTCGCTCGGGACTCTCACTTCTGGCAGGGCTTCGGGAAGGCGAACGACTGCGAGAGGAAAACAGGGAATAGGTTAGTTTAGAGTCGGCATTGTCAATCACCCCGTCACACACACACACACACACACACACACACACACACACACACACACACACACACACACACACACACACACACACACACACACACACACACACACACACACACACACACACACACACACACACACACTTAAAGGGATAGTTCAC